GGTCTTTATATAACCAGACGGAGAGTTCAGTTGCCCGGGCCTCTAGGCCGTCGGCTATAATATTATAGTCCTTACGAGGTTCCTAGCGAGGAGTATCGTTAGGGGTAACGCAAGGCTGTAGGGTAATATAGGTATATACAGAGTACTAACGTTACGTTGGTCTTCGTCTAACTAGATAGAGACGGTAGACTAAAAGGGGGTGAATACAATAGGTCGTTGGCTAGGGGATAGTATTGATATTAGTTGGCCAAGGGTTGCCGAGGCCTTTATAGGGCCTAGCCCGTTATAGATAGCTCTGTCGACCCCCGGACTAGTACCTCCCTATAGAGCCTTCCTAGTATAACCTTCTTAGGGGGTTCCTCGGCTACAACCGCTGCCTATAACCAGGCCGTTAGTATAGCTTAGCCCCTTCTTTTCAACTCCTATATTTCCTTCTAGAGCTCCTCTATTACCTTCCCTACCTCTACTATTACTACCTTTGCTATAGCCTCTACAATAGCCTCCCGGAGGCCCTCTACACTAGCTGCGGCTATTGCCTTGGCTATAGCCGTAGCCGTAGCTATAGCCGCTGTAGCCGCTTCGAGGGCCTCGATCCTTGATCTCAGCTTCTATAGCCGCCTTATCAACTCGTCGACTATATAGTATACTATATCCCGGTCGGAAGCCTTTACCGTATCTATCAACATCCCTACTAGTGATTTATCCTTTAGCTCTGTAAACAGGGTACCTTCGCCAAGGCCTTTGTCGTCGTTGTCGTCGTCATCTATATCCTCGTCGCTTTGGTAGGCTCTGATTAGCTAGGTTCTTCCGGGCGGTAGGGCAGGCCCTACAACTAAGATAGATTTTTCCCCTCCTCCTGTCGCCAGTCCCCCTGTTACCAGGGCTATTGTGGTCGCCCGTAATGGCCTATGTAACGGTCGGACCGCGGCCGGGACTTAGAGCTTTGCAAGCCCTCTCGAACACTAGTGTTTTCGTGTATTTTAGTGTGGTTTTCGTTGAGATCACTTTAAAACAAGTAGATTAGCTCCCCCTTTTTGGTATCTACCGATATATTACTTTAGTCTATATATAGCCTGAGGAATAGATTATAGATAGAGATACTAAGTTTATATCTAAGTTCTAATAGGCACTTATAAAGCGCCTAGGGATTAAAAGTAAGCTCTCGATAGCTTATTATCCTTAGATAGATAGAACGACTTAACTAGATTATAGAATAATATCTTTAACTTTATATCAACCTCTAGCAGGACGATTGGGTTATACTTCTACCTATAGTGTAGCTCGTATATAATATATCACCTATAGAGACTACAAAACTCATACTGTTCTTCGCGAACTTTAGGTACCTAGTAGACTTATACTAGGGACTAGCAGTCGTAGTACCTAGGGCGGTAGTCAAAGTAAGTCAAATATATATACTTTATATAATACTTAGGGATAAACTCGAGTTCGTTAGGAGGTAGGATAAAAAAGTACTTTGATAAAAACAGGCTTAAAAGGTCTTCGCCTAGAGAGGGGAGACAAGGTCTACCTCAACTTAGAAATCTTTGAATAAACCGACTAAGTAGGAAGCTCGACTTTAAGAAAATCAGACCGTTTAAGATCGAAGAATAGATCTCGGAGAACAACTACTGGATCGTATTACTAGTAATAATGAAAGTCAGGACCAATGTCTTCTATATTATACTTCTCGAGCTAGTACCTAAAAACACTAGGCTTACAACTAAGGTCGAAGCCTAGGACAAAGAATAAGAATAGGACATTAAGAAGATCCTTGATTTATATATCAACGAAGAACGACTAGAGTATCTAATTAAATAGTTAGATTTCGACTTAATAGAAAACTTATAGGAACTAGCTATAAATCTTTACTACCCTAAGAAGGTTATAAACTTCTATCGATAGAACCTAGATCGACTAAAGGGGGTACTAAAGGTAAAGTAATTATACTAGAAGGGCTGCTCTAGGAAGTACTAAGATAAGCAGTTAGTATAAGCAAAAAAGAAAAAAAAGAGACGGTTAACAAATACCCTTGTTAGGAGAGGCTTAGATATTTATCGACTAAGGCTATAATAGGATTCGAACCTACGACCTTACACTAGTTTTGCTTAATCCTAGGCGACTAAGGCCCTGAGATCGAGTAGATAGAAGGTATATATACTGACTACTATTCTATATAACTATTTTATTTATTAAAAGAGAGAGGCAAGGAATATACTTTTAGGCTACCTAGAAGGGCGAGCCTACTAGGAGGCCAAAGTCGCTTATTAGTAAAGGCTTTAACTATACCTCGGGGTATATATTGTTCTAGGCTAGAATAAAGTTATTATCTAATAGAGGAGGAGTAGCCGACGACGGAGGAGGATTGGTCTAGGTGTCTAACGCTGCTAGCGCCTCCGCCTCTTCGTACTCTATACGCTCTAGCTCCTCTATAGAATCGATACTACGGGAAATAGCCTGTATTATCTTCTCGAACTATAGCTTCTTTTACTTCCGAAGCTATAGGACCCACTCCTCTACTTCTAAGAGTTCGTCTTCAAGTTTCTAGTAGCGAGAGGCAATAGACTAAAGTTAAGAAGGAGAAATACTAAGTATATTGTAGTTCGAGCATTTGAATCGGACATATTCCATATATCGGGAGGAATCGACTTTAGAGGCCTCGTAGGACTCAAGTCTATAAGCCTCGTAAGCAGAACAAAGATATATCGTTAGGAGATTATCGGAAGATAGGATCACGGTAAGAAGGTAATTGGCATGGAGTATTGATACGACTTTGGGCTTCGTTTTCTTTATATGGTCAGACATCTTGACAAACGGCGTACACAAGCTTAGGAGAACGCAGGGAGAAAAGACTCGCTAGCAAGGTAGACCAGGGGAGCGGTATTTAATAGACGTTAGCGCTAGGAGAGAGCGGCTATTAGTTCTTTCAGGGACGAAAGTACTAGAGAGGGGGCATCGTATTATAAATATAGCTATATACAGTAACCCGAGGCAGGTGTACGGGGTACAACCTGAACCAATCGCTTAGTTAGCCAGCTAAAGAGTGATCGTAGGGATCGGGCTGCGATCATAGCGAGCGTTAGACAGTCGGAGTGATCGTATAGCGATCACTGTAAGCGTAGGACTGGATTATAGGAATCGAGTTCCGATCACTACGATCACTGCGATCAGAATATATAGTCAGCAGTATATAGCTACAAGGGCTGAAGGGCTCCGGGAGACCTCTAGTAAGCAATATATCACAGTGTTTGTAGTAACCTTTACATTCTGCACGCATTGTGAGGAACATCTTATTGTGAACCCTTTAGCTTCACCGAACCTATTGGACCGAACCAGTCTTAATACCTCTGCTGAACCCTTTCAGAGTCAGGTCTGACCGGGTTGTCACAGGCATAGTGTTGATCTAGGCTGCAATGGCCGGCGTAGGAGTGTTCGGAGCTATTATAGCTAGAGATACCTCTATCCTGAGCTGTAATAGAAACAAAGGGAGTAAGTAACGTATAACAAACCTAGTTAGACCTAACTCTGAAAGGGTTTAACAGAGGTATCAAGACTAGTTCGGTCCAAAAGGTTTGGTAAAGCTAAAGGGTTTACAATAAGGTATTCCTCACTATAAGTGCAGAATATAAAAGTTACTATAAATACTATAATGTATTGCTTACTGGAGGACTCCTAGAGCCCTCTAGAGTGAACGTCTATATACGCCGGTTATGGTGCTCTATACGTTCTGCCTCTTCAGACATAGAGCACACAGGTCACTGTTCCTGTCCTTCTGATTGGTTCTACCTAGGTCCTGCTCTATCTGTTCTATAGCCCCACAGACAGAGCTCGCAGATCAGCCTTGCTGCTCTGTTTCCTTGGCAGGGCGCCCCGCAGAGCTGCCCCCTTGCGGCCCCCTTTCCTGACCCTGTGCCTCTTTCGGATCCAATTGGCTCGGGGCGCCCTGCGCCCCTCCGCCTGCATGCGTGCTTCCGACTTGTTGGCTTTAATTCGTGACAGTATCGTCAGGCTTCGCTTCACACTTACTTGGGCATGTCATCGCCATTTATATATCAGTTAAGAGTCTTGTAATATACTACTTGTTTTTCTCTAATAGCAGTACGAGTGATAAACACTACTCTCTCCTTTGGTACTAGGGTCTAGCTATCTTAGCCTATAGCATACATCGCTGACCACCACACTCCGTCATTGTATGTACGTAACGAAGTTTTCCACCCTCCAGGCGGAATTCATGGCTGTCGGCAGCCATCATCATGTGCTCCCAAACACAGAAAATGCTGACAGACCCCATCGACTCGTCGATAACGTATCGGCGGCGTGTGTTTGGTGCCTGGCTGTGGTTGGATGGGATGCCGGCTTTGCAAGAGTCGTCTGGCCTCCCCTTTCCCGTGTAGGCTGAGCCCTCCAAGCGGGTGCAGGGCGTTCCCCAGGGAACAGCATCTGAAGCGCTAGCACTGCTCCACATGTCGAGATAGGCGTCGCCAGCAGCCTTGATGAGCTCCCGGCTATTGCGCTTGTCCTCAGGGATCTGGTCCCATTTCTCCTGCAGGACGTATTCGAGTGTCTTTCTGGCGTCAAAGAGCCACGAATTGGTCGTCGAGGCGACGGTGTCAATCAGGGTAACGCGGCCGCCGGCCCCGTGACGGATCTGGGTCCCAATGACATAGGGATTGGCAGGGTCACTGACGACGACCTCGGTGTAAGTTGCACAGGCAACCAGGTCGAAGTTGGTCCGGCGGTGGTCGATCGTGAGCGGCTTGGTCAGCACACCCTCCCGGGGGTCCTTCTTCTTGTTGTTTTCTTCGTATTCCCAGTCGTCAGCAACGATATCCTGGAGCAGGTTAACGTTGCCTGCCGTTTGAGTGGCAATGTATGCATCCGCTGCCTCGGCCAACATCGAGCGATCGCAGTCGGGAGCTCGGGAAGCTGAGGGATGCCCGAGCACAGCTTTTGCCGCTCCGGAAAGGAAAATGGCAAATGATTGAACATAGATAGGAAGCACCATCTTCACGCTATACGTGGTACGTATGCTAGGACTGTGAATGGGGCAACCGCAGCCAAAAACTTCGTGAGGGCGCGGGTCAAGAACCACGAGCAAGGGATGAGAGGGGCCTCGAGGACATATTAAGTGAAGTTTAGTTACCGAACAAGTGCCGGCGTCGAGAGGCGGGGGGATAATATCCGGATTGAGTGCCAAAGTTCGGCAGAAAACGAAGACCCTGCGGTACTGGGATGTGGCACGTGTGTGTATATATATCACGGTAGCCGAGCAGCTGCTTTGCACATCCATTGGACCAATACACTGGCATGACGGCCGAAACATGCGACTTAGAGCGACCCCAGGTTACGATGGACATGTGGTGCGCTACGTCAAGAGCGGGCTGGGGGGACAGGATATTCCTTTGTTGCCGTAGATGGTTGTCGCGGCCCATGTGCGACTTGTTCTGCCCGCCTATGAATCACGAAAACGCATCACGTTAAAAGTATTCAGAAGACCTTGGTGGAAAGACACACGCTCACCCCCTGCTAACTCCAAATTAACCAAGTAACGCCATGAAGAAATGGAACAACGAAATTGCCACGAAACTGTGAGCATGAGGCGTCCCTAACCCGCTGGACGGCCAAGTGGAAACGAAACATATGCTACATAAAAAACCAAGAGCGGCTGCCATAAGTGTAGCTAGTAGGGCCAACTGCTAGACCCCTGTCTCACCAGAAGCTGCACCATCCGATGTAATGCTGGCAGAGGTTCTCGAGCTTGGTAGCTTCGATGATCAGCTTGTTGACTTGCTCATTCACAGTGAGCTCATCGTCGGGTTTGAAGTCTCGGCCGGTGAGCTTTTGCGCCACACGATCGAGGACTTCAACTGCTCGTGCGTTCTGTACCTCGGCCATCTCGTTCGCCCCGTTGCCGTTGGCCATGCTGCTCGGCGCGGCGGCCGAGGAATTGGTACGCGCACGACCACGACCACCCGGCGGTGCGGCCATCATGCCGTCCGGCCCTGTCGCCTGGGCGGCGAGGAACTCGGTAGGGGCCACGGGGGCGTCGAGTATCGACGGCCGGCGCGCGCGTCCTGCTTGCGGCCCAGCAATAGCTTGTTCCCGTTCTGAATTGAAGTGAGGTCCAGGCGGGCTAGCGGGGTTCGTGAGGCGCCATGTGAGCAGCGGATCGTGGATGAACTGGATGGGAAAGCAAATACGGTTAGCTCAACCTACTTGAGTTCTCGGCGTTGCAGACTCGGGGGAACTGGATGACACTTACAGCCTCCAAGACAGCCATCACGCTCTCCTTGTTATCCCGCAAGACCCTCATCACATGCTCGCATGTTGTGCGGAAACTGCCCTCGATGTTGCTAACTTCCATGGCATAGGTGAGCATGCGGGTGAGTCGGAAGGGCACTCGCTCGGGATACTTCTCCCGCTTCATTGCCACCTCGAAACAGTCGCCAAAGTCGATGTGGATGATCTTTCCTGTGATCCGGTCGAGCATCAGATTACTAGGGTGCCTGTCTCCCAAACCCAGAATGTATCCGACCATGGACATGACGCCGAGAGAACGCGTGTAATTTGTTCTCCTGTCCAGCCAGGCCTCGGAGCTCTTGCTCTTGAGCCAGAGAACGCGGTACAGGTCTTGGCCCGTGGTGTTGTCCAGCGCGTACCCAAACACCTCGACCTTCTGCATAAGCGTCAGGTTATCGTAGTCCGGAGCCATCTGCAGCATGATGCGGTGCTCAATGTTGAGCAGAATCTTCCTGGATTCCCGGTACTCCCGGATGAGCTGGTGAACAGTATCACTGTTGGGCACCCAGCCGATGAGGCCCGAATTCTGAGACAAGGGGATTGCTGGGTAGCGCTGGATGTTGAGATGCCGCTTGTAGCACTCGGAGTCGTTGGCCAGGAGGGTGTTGCACAGGCCAAAGAGCTGCATGACGCGCTCGTCCTGCCGGATATCTTCGTGACCCTTGAGCAGGAACGTGTATGTTTTCCCGTCGCTCCCGATCATGACAAGCTTCCTGGGACGCTGTTTCGAACTGATGACGCTGAAGGTGCCATCGAATCCCATGATCTTGACGATTTCCTGGCCGCTGCGGTACGTTCCAGGTACTGCAAGCTCGAGGTCCCGAGCCTGGAGCAGATCCGGAGAGCAGTATGTCAGTTCGAGGCTCGTCATCTGAGGCAGCT